AAGACATACGAGCAACCAACAGATGCTTTAAAAAATGCTCAGTCTCACTAGTCATCAAAGAAATTCAAATGAAAACCACACTGAGATACCACCTAACTCCAGTCAGGATGGCCATCTTCTATAACTCAAAAAACAACAGATGCTAGAGAGGATGTGGGGAAAAGGGAGTATTTCTACACTGTTGGTGGGAGTGTGAACAAGTACAGCCTCTGTGGAAAACAGTGCCGGGATTGCTAAAAGTTCTAAAAATCAACGTGCTATATGACCTCGCAATCCCCCTACTGGGAATATACCCAGAAGAACTCAAATCACTCTATAAAAGATATCTGCACATGTATGTTTATCACAGAATTGTTCACAGTAGCAAGAACATGGAATCAACCGTGCTTTGCATCAAAAGAAGATTGCATTTAAAAAATGTGGTACATATACATGATAGAATATTATGCAGCCATACAGAAGAAAAAATCATGAACTACACAGCAACCTGGATGGACTTAGAGTCCTTAATACTGAGTGATCTTTCACAGAAAGAGAGAACTGAGTAGCACATGTTCTCACTCATAAGAGGACCTTGAACAGTTATCGTAATACTACATGAAAAGGATTGACAGTAGCGGGAAACTGCTGGGAAGGGGTGCAGGGAAGTGGGATTGGCAGTAGTGGGAATCTGCCTGGGGAAGGGTGGGCACATCTCATCAACAAGTGTACCTGCATAATGAACATTTGTATACCTATCCAGGAATTGTATCCCACATCTTTAAAATTCAAAAAAATTAAAAGAAAGTAAAAACAAACTAATAAAAAATGAACCTGGCACGGGAATTTCTAAATAGTAAGTTGTTATCTTTACATGTAATGTGTATAATGTGTAAATAATGCTTATTACATTTATAGCATATTTGGTGAATACTCTTTTCTCTTTACCATCCAGTAAAGCCAATGTGACTGTAACATTCAAGTTAATATAATGTATTTAAAATCACAAAGAAAACTTCAGAAATCTCATATCAGATAGACTTATTTTTTATACCCAGAAAAATGCTACTTTTAATATCTTGAGAACAAAGTCAGTCATCTACTAAAAATCTCAAAAATAATGAAATGACTAAGAGAGTTTGTGTTAATTTAAGTGGCATAATCTTTTGACATATTTATAAATTTAAATCATTAGGAGTTCTCAGGGTTATCTAGGATGACTGATTATATCTCATGAATATTAAAATAAAGTATATTAATTAAGGCTTGTAAACTGTGTTACTTTTCCCTCCCAACATTTAAGACTGTATTAAAAGAATATTTTTTATTTAAATACATGTTGTATAGTAAATTGGCATTTGAATCCTTTAATCTTATTTGATACATAAAAGTAAACTATTTTGGTCAATAGGTACACAAACATAAGTGATGTGTTTCTTTTTTTTTTGAGTTGAAGTCTCACTCTGTCACCAAGGCTGGAGTGTAGTGGCATGCTCACGGCCACTGCAGCCTCGACTTACTGGGCTCAGGCAATCCTTCTGCTTCAGCCTTCCAAGTAGCTGGAACTACAGACATGCGCTACCATGCCTGGTTTATTTTTTTATTTATTGTAGAGATGAGATCTCACCAAATTGCCCAGGCGAGTCTCAAACTCGTGAGCTCAGGCAATCCTCTCATCTTGGTCCCCCAAATTTCTGGGACTACAGGCATGAACACTGCACCCGATCAGTGATGTGTTTCATACACAGACATATGTATACCACATACATACACGTATATCTACACTTGATCTTAGCCAAAAGGCAGAGAAGCAATACACATGTATATCTGAGACAGTATTTTGAAATGAAGAAAAGCAGTTCCTCATACCCAAGACATTTAGTAATTGCCCAGATACTATAAACTATATTTACAGCTAGATGTTGGTGTTCTCTTTGAGTAATTCAACAGGCAATTTCACACAACATCAGTATCAGACATAGCTACTCTATGATCAATACACACATGCACAAATGTATATACAAATTATCTTTAGAAATTAAAGAGCTAAACGCTAAATATATATATATATATATAGATTCTCTGAAAAAATACTAGGAAAATTACAGTATGTACTGCAGGTTATCACTATGTAGTTATATAAGAAAAATGAAATATGGATAACTAGAACTTTTTTTTAGTTCATCAAAAGTTGACTACTTTTCCCACTACATAGATAGAGAATTTGTTAATATCAATTTGTGATGATATATCAACTTAATAACTGATAATGTACAAAACTAACTCTGGTTTTATATATTTTTCCACATTTTCGACCCGTATCAACCATTAACATCACAAATTTTTTATATGCGAAATTATTTATTTTTTACAGTTGTCAATACATGAATCACACTATTCTCAACTATGTTGGAATTTTTTTTAGTAAAGTAAACTACCTACTGCTGACCAGTCTTAGTTTTATCCACTTTAGTCACCAAAAAAAAATTTAAAATTGTAAAAATTCTTACATGCTTGAGATAGAACAGAATTTTCAACTACAATCCCAGAGCAATAAAAAAATTAAAAAATGTATAATTTATTTTGGAGAACTCCTTGAAATCATTTTAACTTATTTCAGGAAAAAAAGTCACCTGATTATATTTGTATTGAATCAATCTGCTTCTGTATCCACAAGGAAAATATTTAGTTATGATATATTTATTTTTGCATCTTATTTGAAAGATTTAATGTATATAAAATAAATCAAGGAGTAAAGGTTATTTATCAATATATATTTGGTTATGAAGCTTTAGGAATAATAGCAAAAACTACTTAGAATTTTTTTAGAGTTTCTTCAGATTTCTCATCAAAGGACTAATTAAAACAATTAAATTACAGAATGAGTGTATAATTAATATTGCAAATGTATCAATGACTTTACTAAAACAATTCAAACTCCTAATAATTTCTGGATAATAAATGGAAAGTTTTAATTTACTAAACCCAGGTCTTACTTGTCATATTGTGGCACCACTCATTTTGTATGGAATAGTATAAAACAATGTTGGGATTACAAAAACAGGATTTGAAGCAGTAAATGTATTTGTAACATTAACCACGTATGAAAATTGCATTTCCAAGTTAAAATTTGTTTATAAAGCTTTGTTGACTTGACATCTGGACTTCAGTATTTGCAAATTTTCGAGGATTGTTATACTATTTTGTCAGTTAATGGATCTTCATCTTTTGGTAATTATTTTAATTAAATGGATATTAAATGAAAATAATGTCTACAAAATATATTAAAATGTATGCATTTTAAACTATCATTCTTCTTAAATATTTGAAAATAAAAAGAGTTTTAGTTCTCACACATAAGTTAAACTTGAACAATTATCATAATACTATAAAAAAGGGATTGGCAGTAGTGGGAAGCTGCCAGGGGAGGGGGGACACACCTCATCAACAAGGGTACCTGCATAATGAACATCTGCATACCTAACCCTGAATTGTACCCCACATCTTAAAAAAAAATTTTTTTTTAAAAAGAGTTTCAGTGCTATGATGGGTAGTGATAGACGTAAAACAAATGAACTAAATATGTAACTCAGCAACTATCTCACACTTTAAAAATGCAGCTATAACACAATGAAACTTCAGACAGATTTGTGTTGCTACTAAAAGACAATTAACATATACAAATTTTAGAACTTTTGGCCTGTTGAAATTGTAAAACTTTGCGTGACATTTTTTTCTAAAGGATAGAGGTGACCTATGACAATCTCATTCAAATATTAGAAGTAAATGTCGCCTTTCCCGTATTGAGCAAACAAAAGACTTCAGATTATTGTGTGGAAATAGTTTTTTTGTTTGTTTGTTTTATTTAATTTTGTAGACACGGTGTTTTGCTCTGCCACCCAGGTTGGAGTGCAGTGGCAGGATCATACATAGCTCACTATAGCCTCCAATTTCTGGAGTCAAGAGGTTCTTAAGAGATTCTCTCACTTAAGTCTCCCAAAGCTCTGGGATTATAGATACAAACCAAGGAAACAGTTTCTATATAAAATATATTTTTGAAGACTAGGGCTTTATTAAAAAATTGGATTTTGAGTTCTTATCTTTAGAAAATTTAGATTTAGCATTATAAAATGCTAAAATTAATATTAACTATTATTTAAATCTGCCCTTTTCAATACAATTTCCACATGAACATTGAAAAGTGACTAGTACCAGTTGAGATGTGCTGCATATATGAAATATACTTTGAATTTTGAAGATTTGGCATGAAAAAAATGAATGCCAACTATCTCACAAAAATTTTGTATTGTTTGTATGTTAAAATAGTAATAGCTTGGATAGAAAGAGTTAAACAAAAGATATTAAAATTACTTCCACTTGTTTCCTTTAACTCTTTATTGTTGTGCCTGCCATAAAGTTCAATCACAAACAGGGGTCTCATTGCAATTCTGTTGGACAGAGTTGTGCCAGAAGATGCCACCCAGTTTCTGCATTTGTGAGTAGAGTTAAATCTATACAGCATGTTTTTGAATAGAGGGGGCTTCCTGAGACTAGGGAATATGTGCTAAATTTTTTTTTTCTCTTTTAATTTTCATTTTGAAATTGTGGGGTACAATTCAGGATTAGGCATACAAATGTTCATTGTGTAGGTACACTTATTGATGAGTTGTGCCCCCCTTCCCCAGGTGGATATTGACAACTGTCAATCCCAGCTACCCATCCCCCTCCCCCCTACCTGCAGTTTCCCGCTATTTTCAATCCCTTTCCTACAGTAATATGGTAGTTGTTCAAAGTCCGCTGATGAGTGAGATAGATCCAGCATCTTGAACAGACCTGACACTCAGTTGATGCTTAATTCGTGTTTATTAAGCAAGCCAAAAAGAATATATGTTAAGCTAATACTGTTAAAGCCTGAAGTTGATGCCCAAAACAGTTTTTAAAAGGGTTCTATGACTTAGTACAGCCAATCTGTTTCAAACATTACAATGAAATAACATGATAATCAGAAGAAAAATACATACATGCTTCATGAATGTGCATTTGGGTTACAATGAGGCAAATGTGGAAGTTCCGCTCAGTATCCTGCTTTGGCTGAACGGGATCAATGGGTGTTGTATGCTTAACAATCAGCTGAAAGCACAAGAACAAGAGCCACCTATTGTCAACATTAGCCTGCATTTTTGACACATGTGCTAATTTTCCACTTAGAATATTCATTAATAGGATACAAGGTTTGCTGAATTTTAGAAGAATTTTTTTTTCATGTATTGTGTTCATTGTTATCTTCTTTCATGACTGTGGTAACATTCGCAGTTTTCGTTGATTGCTTTTTGCTTCTCTCTCCTTTCTTTTGTAGGCATTAAGAGAGGGCTTACATGAAAATCGACTGTCATGATTATATTTTGTTTTATAAACATACTGTTCAAAATCCTACAATCGGCAAGACAATGTCAGTTGCTGTGAATGGGGGAAAATTATCCCATTCAGTGACAGAAATCAGGGCAGAGTAGGATAAATGCCAAATACTTAACATCTTTGGGACATGCCTGTTAGTTACGTTCTAAAATTTTGCTTTCTAAGATTAATGAATTATTTCTGTAAAACAAAAGCATAAGTATATTGCTGGATTTAATTTTGATGCCTCAGAAATACTTTAAAACAAAATTAGTGAGTCAAAACATCAATCAAATTTCTTTCCTGTTAAAGATATATATTCTTTAAAAGCTAATAATTATTGGCATGCTTGATGATTTAATAATTAGTAGAAAATTATCATCAATTTAAGGATATATTTATTAAAGTGTCAGGTACCATAGCAGTGATTTCCATATATGCTGAATTCTGTACAAAAAGAAAATATCAATGGATGAAGGAAATAGAATATTTTTAAAATTTGAAACATTAAGCAATGTAAGTCTTGAAGAGAGTAATAATGAATATTAAAGAGAAATATCCCACAACCCAAGTATTTTTATTAATCAGTATCTTACTTGATTCAGAAGCTTTTTATTTTCTGAATTTAGACATTCTTGCTGTAAAGCAGTTTCTTATGCAACACTGAAAAGTTAATTAACTCAAATAATTTTAAATAATAGCTAAAGGTAAAATATTGTTATTTAAGCCACGTTACCTTGGCATTAAAGTAATGAAATGATAATATTTCGAGCCAGTGTTGGTGAAGGAAAAAACCATCATTAAAATGTTTTTACATTTTAAAATGAGTAAAGATTTGCATAACTTATGAAATTAGATCCTCATAATTTTTACCTCTTACTACAAAATTGAAATTACTCTTCCTACAAATGCAGATAGAACACTTTTTGTTGTTTGAAAATATGCACAAGGAGATAGACAAAACAGAACATGTTAACCAAAAAAAAAAAAAGACATGGGTCTAGCATAACGAATTCTACAGTAAGTGAGAAAAAAGACATAACTGTCCCATTTGATGGTTATAGTCAGATGAACAACGTAATAGTTTAGTTTTTCAGGTCAACGGTCAGATATTTTAAATTTCTGTTTTCAGTAACAAATGTATTTCAGGAAGATGGAAAGCATACTTGTGAACACAAATTTTGAAGTTAGAAAGATTAAGATTGAGCATCATCTTTGCTGCTTATTACATTTTTAGACATGTTTATTCATTTTCTCTTACTGCGTGTCAAATAATCACAAACTTAGTAGCTTGGAAGAACATAACTTTACGGTCTCACAGTTCCAGCAGCGCGTACTTGCAAGACCCTAAACCCTCTGCTTAAGGTTTCATCAGGCTGACATCAAGGTATTGATTAGGATGTGATCTCACCTGGGGCTTGGTGTCCTTTTCCAAGTTCAGTGTTGCAGCAGAATTCATTTCATTCCAGCTCTAACACTGTCAGGCAAAGACAACTCTCAGCATTCCAAAGCTGTTCCTAGGCTCTCCTCTCATAACATGACAGGAGCATGTTGGTTTTTCAAGGATAACAGAAGACCCTCTGTTTAAAGGCCCATCTAATTAAAGCAGCCCCATCTTAGGCAACTATTTGTTTGATTAAATAAAAAATCACTATTTGGGAGCATTAATAACAGCTGTAAAATCTCAATCTTCCTGTAATATACTCATGGGAGAAATAGCTCATTGTATTTGTAGGCTTCACTCACATTCAGAAGATTTCACAAGGCATGTACACTAGGAAGTGGGAATCTGTGAGACAATTCTATAATTTTATTTACCATATCTACTAGCCTACTTAATTTCTCTAACTAACCTACGGAAGTCCTCTAAATCTCAGGTGCCTTCATATGTAAAGTACTAACATCTACTTTTTAAGTGTATTTTAAGCATTGTATCCTGTAATAACTATCCATGCTTAGTCTAGTACCAACTATTACCACTAATTAGTTGCAGTCATTACCTCTAGGCATACCAGCCCAGATCTGGCAATGCCAAAGTATAACAGAAAGTACTATAACTGGATCAGAACTATTCATCTCTACCTTACTTATTTGTATAAACAACTTAATCCATTGAACAAAATACAAAGTTTATCAGACTAAGAAAAGAGTGAAGGAGGAAGAGCAAGAGAATTCATCAATGAGCCACATATGAGGAGAGACCTTCCCCCCCAAAAAAGTTTTTGTGTTTTTTTTGGAGGATGGGTCCCTTGTAGTACAGGCTTTTCCCCTCTAGGCATGTGTTCTAGGAGTCCGTTGGCATCAGTGTACCATCTAGCATTATTCTGAGAGGCTGCATTTGACTTCAGTGAAATTTTTTGGAGATTTTTTCAATGCATTTGTCCATATCATGACGGGTGATTTACAAGCGCACCTGCCCACACTGTGAGCTGAGTATGCAGCAGGTTTTGACTAAAAACAGCATGACTTCTGTTCCCCACTATCCCTATTTACCCAATATCATCCCGAGACTTTTTGTTTGTTTCCCTGGATGAACAAAAGTCCTCAAGGGGAAACGTTTTGCCAGTGTGGAAGAGGTGAAACAAAAACCGGCAGAAGCATTAATAGGCATCAAAATTGATGAATTCAAAAACTATTTGGAGCAGTGGAAAACACATCTCAAGAGGTGTATTGCATTAAACGGAGAGTACTTTGAAGTTCACTGAAGTTTGAACATGTAAGAATAGAAACAAAAATTTTATAAATTGTAGGTTTTTCTGGGTCTCTCCTTGTACAAGACACAAACTTGGATGAAGTGGATAAATAGGAGAAAATATAAATTACAAAAAATAATTTTAAAAGAAACATAAAATGATGTCAAACCAATAGACATTTTAAAATGCACCAAAGTAGAGAGATTGATGTAGGTTCACACAGACTCAAAGAAAATTACCCCCAAGTCCTTAATTCCCCTCTTATATTGTATAGGCAAGAAGAACAGAAAAGCAGGAAAAAATACTTGCCTTACTTTTCGAAATGTTTTGTAAATAATGTGACATAACAAATCTTTATGAAATATGATTGAGTTTGTATACCTCACCCTTCATTGTACCCCACATCTTTATAATAAATAAATAAATGTTTAAAAAGAAATATGATTGGATATAAATATCATGTATGAATGTAATACTATACCTTGCATTTATTTCCTCCTCTGATTATATTAATATTAATTTCCTGTGAAAGTTTCTCAATATGAAGACTCTCTATAGTCATGATTCAGCATTGACACTAACCACAGATAGATTTTTGGATGGCTATCTCTGTATCATGATTATTCTTCCTCTGCCATTTAGTGGCCTTTCAGAACAATTACTTTTTCAGTTTTATTTTATTTTAAATTCAGAGGGTAAAAGTGCATGCTTGTTACATGGACATAATATGCAGTGGTGGGCATTGGGTCTCAGGTGACCCATTTCCCAGACAGTGAACACTATATCCATAGGTAGTTTCTGAATTCCATTCTCACTCTTTGCCTCCCCAACTTAGTGGTATCCCCACTGTCTATTGTTTCTATATTTGTGGACAGGTAACTCACACATATAAGTGAGAACATGTGGTGTTTGGTTTTACGTTTCTGAGTCAGTTCACTTAGGATGATGAGCTCCAATTCCATCTGTGTTGCCTCAAAGGATATAATTTCATTCTTTTTTATGGCTGTGTAGTAGTGCGTGTGTGTGTGTGTGTGTGTGTGTGTGTGTGTGTGTGCTTATCACGTATCACATTTTCTTTTTTTTAACGTATTTTTTATTTTAAAATTGTGAGGTACAGTTAAGGGTTAGGTATACAAATATGCATTGTGCAGGTACCCTTGTTGATGAGGTGTGCCCCCTTGTTCCCAGACAGATATTGACTACCGTTAATCTCACCTCCCTTCCCCTCCCTGCCCCCCCCATAGTTTCCCGCCACTGTCAATTCTTTTCTTATAGTATTACAGTAGTTGTTCAAGGTCCACTTATGAGTGAAAACATGGTATCACATTTTCTTTATTCAGTAAATTGTTGATGGACACTTAGTTTGGCTCCATGATTTTGCTATTGTGAATTATGCTGCAATGAACATACAAGTACAGGTATCTTAAAATACCTATAATTCATATGTATAAGAATATAGAAGACAAATGAGGAATTTCATTAGAAATCTGGAACCCATAGAAGTGTCAAAAAATTCTAAATTTGAAAACTACATTTACCTGAAATTTAATAATTTAATCCATTTTAAGAATATACGTATATATGTATATATACATACACATATATGGAGATGCTTAGTGAACTGGTTAGTAAAAAAATACAGATTAGAGTATATAAATAAAACAGGATAGAGAAGTCAGAAAAGAAAGTAAAAGAAATATAGAAAATAATGAAAAAACTAGTACATGTTTCACTGGAATATCAAAAAAAAAGAGACTATAGAAATTGGATAAAACAAATATTTGAAGAAATTTCTGCCTGATAACTTTCCAAAGATGACAAAAATATAGTAACCACGGATTTAGAAAGATTTCCAGATGTATGCTGGATAAATACAAGGAAAACTTTATCTAGATTAAAATTGCTGAATATTGACTGGAAGTGGTGGTTCACACCTATTATCCTAGCATTTTGGGAAACCAAGAAGCCCAAACTTGAGGTCCAAAGTTTGAGACCAGCCTGAGCAGCATAGCAAGAGCTCAGCTCTACAAAAAATTAAAACAA